GTTGTACAGTAGTTGTACAGTAGTTGTCTGGGGGATTAAGTTTTTACCTTTCTTTGTGACATGCATTTCCGCCAGAACCTCCTTTCGTGCATGATCAACATGGTCACGCCGAGTTAGGTTTGTGTCCACAGTAACTCCAAGGTGTTTACAACTGCGCACACGTTTAAAGCGGGGTCCCGCTGACGTAAACGGTGACGGTGTCATCGTGTCATCATTGCACAGCTTTGACTTTGTACCCAGCAAGATGAATTCAGTTCATTCAACATTAGGGCCTAGGCCTAAGACTCAATTTATTTTTATTGAGCCATTCCACTACACGAGTCATATCTTCGTTGATTTTGTCTATAAGATCTGACTCGTTGCTGTCATAGTACAAAGCAGTGTCGTCAGCATAGGCCTACATACTGACCTTACAATGAGCTACATGCAGTGGGAGGTCATTGATGTAAATGATGAACATAAGTGGACCGACAATGGATCCCTATGGTATTCCACAAGTTACTGCGTGAAAGCTCGAGCTCATCCCGTTGTGGTATAATGAGAACGGCCGTTTATAAGTAACTTCGAAACCAGTTAATCCCATTGCCGTCAACACTGTAATGCTTTAGTTTCCGTATAAATATATCTAGATCAACGGTGTCAAATGCCTTTTAAGATCAAGCATGATCACGTGTTACACCAAGTTCGCCAACCATATCACCATGATCAAAGCTTCTGAGCCGCTCATCAGTGATGTTAATCAGGGCCGTAGAGGTTGAATGTAATGGTCGGAATCCTGATTGGTTTATATTAAGCAGCTGGTTCGAGTTCATATAATCATACCACTGGTCGAAGACTGCTCTCTCGAGGATTTTTGAGAAAATTGGAAGAACCGATATGGGTCTGAAGTTGGTTAGTTCCTTAATGTCACCTCCTTTATGTATTTGGTTGACTCTTGCATTCTTCCAGTTTTGTGGAAATACGCCAGTATTCAGTGAAAGGTTAATAAGATGCGTCAATGGACCAGCAATGACAGGGGCAGCTATTTTGATAAGCTCAGCAGGACAATTGTCATGTCTTGTGGCTTTATAGTAGGTGCAAGACCCTGAAGCTGCTTCCAAACAAAATCCTGACCAACAGGTTCAAAATGGAAGTCTCCAATTGGGACTGTAATACTGCCACAACATTTGCTGGATGAGTAAGTGCAAGCAGGTATTTTTGAGGCAAATTTAGGTCCAATGCTTGCAAAATAATCATTAAGCACATTGGCAATAACTTCAGGCTTAGAAACATCTTTGCCATTTTGCGAATACCACTTCTGGCTCATGTTTTATTTTTGCGAGGAATAAGTTGTTTGAGATGCTTCCGTACTCACTGTCATTTTTACTTGATTTGATGGCTTGATGGAAGTACTCCTTTTTAGCATGTTTAATATTGGCATTAACCTGGCTGCGCAGGGTCTTATTTTTTTCCCTGCAGTCATCCTGTTTTGATTCAACAAAAACTGAACAAAACAAATGGGAAATAAATATTCACAGCATTAGAACAGTCAGCTAGAACCACTGGTGAAGAGGACAAATGTAATTTCAAGTTCAAATTCGTGTCAGTTGATGACATTCTTCCGACAGAATCTTTTCAGTTTCAGCTTCTGTTGTGTATTCTTGTCGCAGGCGGCGTTGGAGGAAACATGGGACTATTATGCGGCATGAGCTTGATCACTGTGGTGGAATGGGCTGACTTCATTGTAATCTCTCTGCTTCGTAAATTCAAAGCAAGAAGGATCTAAACCCACAATCTTCAAACCGATTAAAATATAACGACTCCTTGAAAAAAGCTTTTCTTTTGAAATTAAACGTACAACAATTTAGAGTTTGAGATAAATAACTCATGAAGATTTAAATGAAACCCGTACAAACAGTGATAGAGTGCATTTTAAAGTCATTACATTATGCTTACTGAGCTAGATTGTCTATCGCTGTAGAATATATGCTGTACAAAATCATTTCATATCGAGTTTTTCAAGGGTAACTTTCAATTCCATTTTAATTAATATTTACACCACGGAAAGTGCTTTTACGAGGTGGTTCCTTGTCCTTCAAGATTTATACAATCTTTGTTTATGAGAAGCAAGGTTTCTCCCTTTATTCAATTTTTGAACACTTTAGCTGCGGGATTGATCGTTTATTATCCACCCCACAAAAACATACTCTAAAAAAGTAATTTAAATCAGAATTGATTAAAAAGATGATCTCAGCGGAAAGAAGTGCGAGCTTTAAGGTGAGTATCGATTGACTTTACGATATTTCTCAGAGGACAATTAAAAATGTATGGATAAGCGAATAGCTATAGCTAGAACACACAGACTCCAATTAATTTGTGACCTCCATACGTGAGGACGTGGTACACAGAACGGATGTCCTAATGGAGAGTAAGGGTTCAAAGTATCTCAACTGACTGCGGCTGACAGGATTACACATGTCTATATATGGGAAATGGCTGCAGCCACTAGACAGCGGCTACCGTAAGCACATGAATTACTTGGAGCCGCAGTCACAGGCCCGTAGGCTGGGGGGGGGGGGTTCGGGGGTTCAAACGACCCTCCTCCGTGTCGTCGAACAATAGAAGCTTAATCTCAGTTGAAATAAAATCACAGATACAGTAACAGTATGTAGCCTGAGTTGAGTTTCCAATATTATGATGACTTTAAGAAAGAAACCAAGTCACGCATTGCTCTTTGGTGATCTAAATATAATCACGCTATTTAACAAGATTCGCTAAAGAGCCATGCCATTCAACAAGTGTTTCTTTGCTTCTTCTGTCACTGTCATCCAGTTACCCAATCAATCAGCCATCTCGGGGTCAGCAGCAATTACCTGTTGCTTATTAAATAAAAGCTGCTTGTTTATAGAAGGCGTGAGCTAAGTCATATTGGAGGGGCAACAGCTCAGTGCAATCATATCCAGAAGTGCTGGCTACCGAGACAGGTTCTCAATTTAGCCTCAGATACAATCCTTAACTCTGAGTATTGCGTACATTCATATAGGATCGTTATTCTGTATTGCAGGCAAAATGTATGCATGGACGGAAGGCACCAAAACTCCAAATCTCTTGGGCGACCAGGAGTCTATTTTCTCCATTGGCAGTCCTGATTTCACCGTCCGATCTACCATTATTAACATGGAGGACAAGGAGACAAAAGGAAACAACTGTCGAAGTCAAACTTGCTCCGCTGACGTTGACAGACGCTCATTTGCGGACCGATTTCGGGAATTCGCAAATAGTACAACTTTTCATGGAATCAGCAACGTGACAAACAGCAAACACAACGGAATCAGAAGGTTAGTCACAAACAGGAATATAGAACTATAGACCTAGTTTGTTTTTGTTTGTTTGTGTGTGTGGGGGGTTAGATTGAACATTGCCATGTGTTAATCTTCTCATTAAATGAAAAGAAGTATTTTAAATCCACGATTTCTTTAAATTTATGAAATATTTTAATTGTAAACGTTCGGTGACTTAATTTTCCGCAGCTTCATGGAAATTTGCTCGCATGAAACTGCTGGATACAATTTACTACTTTTTGTCTACTTTCATATCCAGTCAGGGTTTGTCTCTCAGTTTCCCCCCCCCCCCGTGAATTCTGAAAGGAAAGTTCACCAATCTTGTTTTGCTCGCCTGAAGTTTGTGGGCAAATTTAGTTTTCTGGAATTGGTCATGTCAATCGCCAGAATAAAAGTCCATTCAATACAAGGCGCACCGAAGTCAGTCACAAGACTAACTATGCACGGGATATGCCTTCCTGTCTCGCTAATTATTGTCCCGTGTTAGCTCAATTTCATTACCAAGCCACGCCAAGGCTTTTAAGGGCTCACTGTCAACAACACTTTCAATCAGTCGCTAAGAGACACGTTTGTAAAGTAAATTGACAAAGATGCAAGGTTGGAGCGATGTCATTGCTCGGCAAATAGCTTGAAAGAGAGAAGAAATCATTGAAACTGCTTTAGCAAATCAATTATTATCTGAAGTTCTCTGTCGGTTTATAAGTTGGTTTCTAAGAAAAAGACCACCAAGACTGTGGGAGAAATCCTTATCCCGGAAATGAAAGCCCTGCATCACACCCTTTCGCGAGTGCTTCCATCTTTGTTTCATACCTTTCATTTTGATCTCAAGTGAATCCAATTTCTATTCAGATTGTTTTGGTCGTTGATTGTGATTGGCGTATCATCCTGGCTTGTGACTGGCATCACACAAACAGTGATTGAATTTTTCAAGTATCCAGTAACTAGTGCGATCTCCATCAATTACGTGGACAGCATGACTTTCCCGGCTGTGACTATCTGTAACTTCAACCAATTCCGCCGCTCTGTTATACCCGATGATCAGGTGGACTTTATCAATAAGCTGTACGGACTTGATCCGGAAGCACCCACCGACCTCAACATCTCTGACTTCGAAATAACAGGTCTTACTCGGGACCAATACGAAGACTTGTTCGCAGCCATGTCTCATCAACTGGAAACTATGCTCAGTGAATGTGTGTGGAGAAGTAGTGAGACATGCACGGTTCAGAATTTCACACGGCGATTCACTGATCATGGCATTTGCTTCACTTTCAATGACCCTAAAAATGGATCGGAGATTTTGCAAGTCAACAGTGCGGGAACTCGCAATGGGTTGTTCCTTCGACTGTATGCTGACACTGAAGAATACATGTTTAGTGAAAACACAGCAGCCGGCTTCAGGGTAAGTTAACGTGTTGGTAAAAACTCTCTCACAGACATTGTACATCGAAAGCTCAAGTAATCTGTTGGTGATGTAAGACTCTCGATCAACGTCCCTATTTCTCGTAGATGTTGCTGCATCCTCAAGGCGTAGCACCCCTTGTCAAGGAGCTCGGCTTCTCCGTTTCTCCCGGGTTCGAGTCATCAATTTCTGTCAGACAGACTCTTGTGAGTATGGACAATTATAATTTGAACACAATACAGTAAACTACGAGAGTGACAGAAAGTAACAAGGAAAGAGTGGTGTTGGTTATCAATGAATCCCATGCCTTTCTGTGTAGGTAACTAAACTTGCAGTATTATTACTTTCTATCCCCAAAGAGAAAGCTAATCATGATTCACTAATACAAGTTGAAGAATATCTGGAAGAGGAGCTTTACTACTATTTTGCTCGACTTCTCCTCGATCGCACGACCTCTTGCCGAATAATAATGACAGATATCCCCGTCTGGTAGTCTGGTATTGTGATACTATTTACAAAACAACCACTAAGAACGAAGGGGGTTATTAATCAGGTGTGATTTTGTGCACATTTTATTGAAAACTAAAGGGTAATGAGTTTGTTTTGATCGTTCATAGGTGGAAAGTCTTCCACAGCCTTATGAGTCGAACTGTACCAATTCAACGCTCAGGTATTCTGACACATACACGGTACCCTCCTGCCGCTTTGAGTGCAAGGTTGAATACGTTGTAGACAAATGTGGATGTCGTGATTACAGATGGCCAGGTGAGACAACTCCAACATTGGTTTGGTTTTTTACTGCCGGCAAATGTAATTTACAAACCATTTTTCCTGTTCAACGCGCAAAAGCTTGATGCTGATTAAGGCTGACATCTGGCCAGCTTAATTCACATCTGGCTGAATCCAGCCAATCAGACCACAGGCGTTGAGGCTATTTGCTCATTCGTGTGTCGGATGTGTCTTCTACATGCTTATTGAAAGGAACGTCGGGGCTGCGGTAAACGCGTCTCGTCTCTCTTCCTACTAGTGTATACTAGGCAGGAAATGAGAGAGCCAAGAGCTTAGTGGTGGGGGGGGGGTCAGTTGAGCACACTTTGACCTTTGACCTAGAAAAGGGAAAAGGTCATTAATATGTATAAGTATAATAATAATATGATATGATATGAATAGGAATGAGGTGTAGGGTGAAAAATTCTGGCACAGGTTGACCCCTGGTGTATGGGATAAAATAGGAATAAGACACGGGGTAAAAAATTTTGGCACATGTACATGGTACATGTAATGCCTCTGATTTGAAAGTTAACAAACTTCCGGTAATCACCTTGTAAGAATTCTTAAAATTACTAAGATAATTATCGTAGAAAATCAATGATGAACAACGAGAAATAAAACGGTACCAGTACCAACCTACCAGAAACCAATATGTGAAGTCCACCGAATTTGTTTTGTGTAATACTTATCGTTATGACTATCGAATAATAATTCTCAGATCGGATGTTGGCCGGAACTTCTACACAATATTCCACAGTACGGCGAATAAATTTACCCCTTTGCTACGTGTTAAAAATCCCCAAGTGACGTCACGCTGCCCCCAAGAATTCTTAATTTTATATAATGCTGCATTTTACATTTAGGTCTCACAATAAAGAACAGTAACGCTGCACTCTGACTGAATTTGTTAAACGTATACAAGTACAGGGTATTAAACCGCCGTAAAACATCCGTTCAAAGAATTTGAAAAATTCTGCCAGAGCCCAAACCGTATACATGTACAGGGTAACCGACATAAAACACTCTAGTTCAAAGGAGTAGTCTCCTTGCCGTATCGATCAAATCTTGGTAGCCATAGTAAGCTAAACGCAAGACCGTTAGCACGTGGGCACCCTCTCTCCTTTAAGTGTCCAAAGGGTAAGTCGACCAACGCTCACTTCCAACGTACACAATGTAATCATTAACAAAATAGTCCGCCGACACAGCTCACCCACTGTGTACAGCCCTTTGTTTCGGAATTATCACTCACAACCCGGCGGCACTTACGGTCCTTTTGTTTAGGGATTATCGCTTCCTACTTCCTAATTACTTTTGGACCTCCTGTAGGCCTGTCGGTATTTTTCCATGACGTCACACCTTCGACCCATTTACTATTTTTTATCATAAGCAAGGTCAAATTGTGCCAAAAAGTTTTACCCCGTGTCTTATTCCTATTTTATCCCATACACCAGGGGTCAACCTGTGCCAGACTTTCTGACCTTATGCCTATCCCTTACCAAAGGTCAATCTGTGCAAGAATTTTTTTCCCTACACCTCATTCCTATTCATATCACATTATTATTATATTTATGCATATTAATGACCTCTTCCCTTTTCTGGGCCAAAGGTCAAAGTGTGCTCAACTGACCCCCCCACTACTGAGCTGTTACTGTACTAAAAGAGAAACAACAATGATGTCTTAGGATATGAGGCTTATGATGTTATAAGCCTTCTACTGAGGTAAAGCCTTAAGTTTATCTTCATTCCAATTGATATCTAACCTTTTTCCTGTTTGATCTTGCCATGTGGTTAAATTTCTGGTTTTTTTTCTTTCTCTGCCTAGGTCCAGCACCGATCTGCAACCCACAGGAGCAGTTTAAGTGTGTGTACCCACAAGAAGGTCTGGTCATTGTCCAGTGGCATAAAACGACTTTGTTTTATGGCTTAATCCACAAGAGTTTAAACAGATTTGTCTATACACATCTGATATGTTTTCCTTAATGGGTAATTCCAGAAATTAGGGGTTCAAAAGTGTGACACTTTTGTGTCCCTGTTACATCTGACTTTTGTTATTTGACAGGGAAATATCAAAGGAATTGATTTCGAACCATTACTACTCGTTTGGTAGGTAATTTGAATTAATTTGTCGCTCTTAGAAATTAGAGCAAGTGTTCTCACCAAATCATATGTCAGATGTGACAGGGACACGAAAAAATGGACCCTACTTTCTGGAATAACCCTGATGCAGTTTTATTATTCAACTTGAAAAATGACGGTTCACAGATGACGATTATTTACAGTGGCCTACAACCCTGACAAACTGTTCTGTCTGTTCATATCACTTCAGCTGAGTTTCTGAGACAGAATGTAGAATGTTCCTGTCCGGTGTCCTGTGAAACCAAAACATATGAGAGTCGCATTTCTCTGGGCTACTGGCCAGCCGGTCACGTGACTGAATTTGTTGAAGCACACATGAACTTAACGGAGGAATATGTCAGGTAGGCAATGAAGCTTTCTTCAAAATAAATCATGGTAACCCGACGATCAAGTGATCCTGTGTTCTAAGTTAAATTTGAAATCAATTTTTAAAATTAATTTCAATGTCACTCCCCTCTAAATCTTACCTTTTTATTTCGTACTAGGAAGAACTACCTGGATGTGTATATCTTCTTTGAAGAGCTGATGTACCTAAAAATTGAGCAAAAAGAAGCATACAGCACATCATCATTGCAAAGTAAGAAATAATTCATAGCCACTTTAATCTACTTTGAGCAAAAGCACCCCCTCATCGGTTGAACAGAGACATGTTGGTCCGGAGCGTTCATTTTGTTGGTAGCGATGCGACCGCCGTAACGTGTGCATTTCATAGCCATTCGTGAACCAGCACAGTTTACTTTTGACCACAGCAGCCTCCGTTGCTAAGAAAACCGCGCCCTCTTTGGTCCAGCTCGGGGCTCATAAGGCAAATAGCTGTCATTTGTTTCAATTGTTTAGATGGATGACATTGTTACTGGACTGTTTTTTGTTTTTTGGTTTTTTTGTGTCACTATGCAGGTAACATAGGAGGGTACATGGGTCTGCTCTGCGGAATGAGCTTGATTACGGTCCTGGAATGGGCAGATTTCACTCTCGTCTCAATTATACGGAGATTCCGATCCAGGAAGGAGTAATTTTTCGCGTCAAATCGGATTTGTGTGAGCAAAATTTCAGGTGAAAAAGGAAATCTGTTTTCATAGACAGTTTTATTCTACATGAACGAACTTGATGCCACGACAGTGTTGCGTTACTCAACTTAACAGTGATGTTGTCTTGTACTGAAATTACTGGTCCAACTAATATGGATCGTTTATCTGACATACGCAGGTCTTTCTTTGGACGAAACTATTAAGATTAAACAAATATGTACTTTTATTTTTATCCTTAAATTGAGAACTGTGTCTTAACAACTTATATTGCTGACTGAACAAACATTGAAACTCATAGCTGATGCAGAATACATATAATTTCAATGTCTGCACCCTAACAAGCAAGTCACGTTAAACAATGTAAACTGTATGTAGGAGATAGATTTTAAAACGTCAACATAACTGTATATATAGTAATTAATTTCTTTCTTTTGGTTAGACAACGTATCCTCTGTTTCCTGGCAAGTACAACTGTATATTATGAACCATGATTTGAGATAATGATATCAGATTATTTATTTAAATTTTAAAGGACGAGTTAAACAAAGAAATTGCAATCTGATTTGAATTTCCAATATGCACTTCGAGCTCGTGAACCTTTTTTTCAATTAAAGAATAAAATGAGTTCATCTTTTCAGGAAGTGTTCTTGACCTATCACCAGCAGTGCTTATTTCTCGTTCATTTACAGACTGTTTACTTCCAGGATTCAAACAGGTAAAACAGCGTAAAAGTTGTTATAACATGAATAGCGATCCCATAATTTTACGGGCATTTTCTCATCAGTAAGTTGCGTATTTGTGGAATGAATGCATCGTTATTGAACCATCAGCAAACAATCCTTAATGTCTCTCAAATTCATTCCCAGACGAGCATCACTAGGCAAGCTACTCAGGTTATGAATATCGTGATTGGAACCTGTACCATTCTGATATTGTTTCAGAATCGCATCAGATGTCTCCGATAGATGTGTCATCGCTGACTTTCCTGTCTGATTAAATAAAACACACTCGTGTAAGAATGTCATAAGTTCAACAACAAAGACCATAAAATACTCGTGGAAGATGTCATAAGTTCAACAACAAACACCATAAAATACTCGTGGAAGACCGTCAACACAATGTATAAAGCTGTCGAGAAAACGCTCATTTGCTATACTCTTTGGATATTTCATTATTTATAGAGTCAGACGCCCTCTTACGGCGATATTAATCATTCCCTGTAAGTCATAACTGCAAAATCAAAGAGCAAACTAGCATCCCGAACTCAGCGGGTGCTCGATTTCAACAGAAAGCCACGATGCCATCCGACCGACTTGTCAAGCTGGAAACCTTAATGTTCAGCCTGGGACAGTTCTAAAACACCTCACACCATTGGCTCTCATCATCACCTCAATTTTCTTGGTTGTGGATATCTTTTTCATCTTTGTGATGGTAAATACACATTTGAGCGACACACTTTGCGTGGTATACAGTCAACACCGGAGAAATGAGAGACGCCAGTCGCCTACAACAGTTTGCCAAGACAAGCAACCCGACAACACCAAATTATGTTGCCCGTTATTGGACTTCGAATCTCCACTCAAACCAACACAAGCGTCAAAAGCCTGAACTGAAATCATTTTGGTAGAAAAAAAATGCACTGCAGAAGAAGTACGTCATCGTGCCTAACTGACTGGACATAAACAAATGTGGAGTTACAAGGTATGTGTACATCAGCCATTTTAATTAAATCATTTTATTTTTGTGATATGAAAAGCAGGAATCTGAATTTATTAAGTTCCATAAATTTATTTAGCTTCGAAAACAATAGGGCGGTTTTGTTTGCTCGCTGCAAAACAAATTGTTCGTCCCGATTCTGCAAAAATGCTGAATTAGGAAATTAGTATACAACAACACCAGTAAGACAAAATACTAATCTGGAATAATTTTTATAAGATTTAATACTTTTATCGTGTATTTTAACGCCTCAGTTTGACATTTGTAATCCATCTGCTGTCTTGAATTTTCGCCAATTATTGGCCCACTTTTGCTTTACATTTCTGCATTGTACCCTTCCGCTCTCGACACCTTTAGTCGTGCTCCTAGAACACGGTTGATTTGGAAATATTTCATTTGCTTGAGTATTGAGGTTGTTACTGATTGTACCGCTGGTCCGATTATAACAGAGCGTGTGATTCTACTCAACAATTTTTTTAGTGGACTACGTATTTCTGCAATAATGTCTACAAAATCTGCATCGAACAAAAAACTGCAGCTCATTATCATAAGCACGAATAATACAAATCTGTGCTTTAGGTGTCTCTGCGGCCGAAAAACTAATTCCAAAACTGCCTTCAATTAATTTGAAAGCGAAAGGTTATAATGGGTGGGAATACTTCCGTGAGAAGTCACGAATGTTCGTTTGTCGTTCTCACGCAAGCAAAGCATTAAGAAGCCAATTTCACACTGTCAAAAACAACTTTGGAATCTTCTATTAAAAATTGCCAAGTATCATAAAAAATACTGGTATGTAATATCGTGTTTACCGCAATAGTGCATGCCCCATCAAACCTTTCTACAGATACATGCTGTGTACTGTGGTTTTCTAAACAAACATACGGTAATGAACGTGAGGCATATCAATCACCCACACTCGTGTGTATAGAAGCATCATTGAGTTCACACGTGCAAATACATTGATGACAGTAATATTATGAAGACACTGGGTGACAATATCTTACCTCATAGGAACATTTGATTCCCATTAACTTGAATATATTTAATCTTTCGTAATTGGTGTTCACTGCCGTCATAGTTTGATTTTTAGGCTGAGTGAAATGCAGCTTTTTGGGGCCTTATACTAAATATCAAATGCTGAAAAGAAGTCGACTTATTAAGAATCCAATTCGATCCTGACACCGCAAAATATCTTGAATCATTGTCAATTTCCTGGCAGATCCGATTACACGAGCTATGTAATTTACTTGCGTGTAGGTATATCTCATGGAAAGGCGATGTCAAGTAATACGTCACCACGCGAGCACATCTTGCATCTAGAACACGCAGATAGCAAGACGGGACTCCATTGACTTTTAAGATTGTTTTCAGCATCCCTCATCTCACTTCTTGTTCATTTTCTCTTCGTTGCATGGCACAAAAGAGTTAGTGGATGGTTAGGAATGTAACGGTTGATTAAAAACCAGAAAAAAGGGGGTTGAGAAAAAAGGGACTGATTAATAATAATCTAAAGCAAAAATGTCATACGTGCAGTTTGTACAGTTTGAGAGCCGTCCCACTCACCAGTAGACGTCAGTGATTCATTGCATACAAAAACCTGATTCAAAGGCCACCAACATTCAAAAGTCATAGCCTGAAACCCGTTTTGACACGCTTGAGCGTTGTTCAAACACGGATAGCTGCAATGAAGGTTTTTTTTCGACAGTGTCATGAAATTCACACTGAAGTATGAGCTTCCGGCCACTTGTATCTTATTTCTTTTCCTATTCCTTGTGAGTGCGGTCGGTTCAGGCTGCTTTTATTTGGGGGGCTGTCAATTCCTGCACTACACACTACAAAGTCGAGGCGAACAATTGGAAATACTATTGACTGACAAGGTGTCTCAAAACTCAATGCCATTTCATGGTGCTAGATTGAAAAGGGAATATTCGAGTCATGCCTCACTTGTCCAATTATCAAACCAGGCAAGTGTTTTTCTCGACCTCAGCGATATCAGAAGGCAAGGGTTAATGACAAACATCTCACTTTGCGATTGTGTTGAGTATTAAATTCCACACAAACATCGCAATAGCTGTCCTAGCAAAAACCGGTGAATGAAAAACATGATGAATTTATTGTCTAGATATAATGTGAAAGTGTAAAGTATAAAAACAGATCTTCAATCTGCATACCAAACATTTGAAACTCCTACATACGAGGCTGTTTTGGTTCATTTGAGAAAGCCGAGAGATACTAAAAGGGATCATGTAATAATAATATTGTACTAAAAACTTTGAAATTGCACCAGCATTGTGGTTCAGTTATCCTGATTTTTTTCTATTTGTTTAACATTTTTAATCTGTATTCTGGGTCTTTTATGTTTTATGCTACTTTAGCTTTGCATATTCATAAGCAAAACTGTGATGTAATCAGAGGCATTGAACCTCAATGTTGCATTAATTATGCACCAAAAGATAGGAGAATTTTCTTTTACTTCGCTATCGAAGATTTCAATTTCCTTTGGCAATTTTTGTAAACGTAGATGGCACAAAGCCAGCAAGCAACCTTTTCACAGAAATGTTTTTGAAAAGCAAAATTTGGGTTCAAAATTAGAACACGAAAAATTGCATACTAAACAGTGTATCCCTGGATTTACATCACACTAACAGCGCCCTCACTCGTCTGGAAAAACTTATTGTTTTAAATAATTGAAAAAGTGCACTTTACAGTTCACTTAGTCCCAAACATAAATCAGACAGTTTTCATACATCGCAGAAGAGTTCAGCGTTCATAAAAAGTGTTCTAAGAAAAATCATTACATTGATCCTTTAATATCCCTGCCTATAGCGAGGGGAAATCAACTAATTGCTTCAAAAAATATGAATGGTCTTGGTCATAAATATGACTTGCCTTATGGAGGGAACGTAAACAATTGAAATTAAGACCATACTTGTTAGGACTTCATCACTTAGACTTTTAAAAATCTCATTTCTCGGGAGAATCACGTACACTTGATTTTGAGAGCACATACCCGTTTATCATTCTAGCATAAGTGTCCCAGCTCAAAGAATTTGTTGTAAATCAAGAAACTTGTCTGAAATGTGTCCATTGCCATGCTATCGACCGTTATAGTTTTGAACAAAAGATGCATTTTCTGGTATACAAATATTAAAGATTCTAATTAGGGTTTACCGAAACCTATCATAAAGTAAAAAATAACAGTGAAAACCGACTGATCTCCCTGAGCGTTTTCCTTATGGCGTAAAATGCTTTATTTAGAGAAGAAATCCAACTTTCTTCATAATTCACTGATAAATGACTGTATGCATCTGAAGTGCTTTGTAAACCTTGTACATTATCACAGACTGCTTGCGTGTTTTGTCGTCCCATCGTCAAACACTGGTTATTGATCATCGCATGAAGGCTACTGAAGGGTGTAAGTTAATACATTACAGACGTTTTGATTAAAAAGCTTCCAGTAGTTAAACAGATAGAAAAACAGCCTCTCTTGGCATTGCAGGAATTTTGGAGAACACCTCAAAAGCTTTAACGGTTAAAATCAGCTGTCTTGATACAGCGCTGCAAAATATTTTGACAATGCTGCGGTGGATGCTTGCTAATAACTACAATCGTTTCGAATCTCCCTTGGTATCTAATGGCAGGGCCCTGTAACACTTCTGCGTATCCTAAGTCTTTATGAGTTGCACATCGGCGTTTTTTTCATACGCAGTCGTACGCACAATACGCACCTCAAATGCATCTCAATCGTATTGCGTACGTTTTATGTCGTAAGCATGCGCACAGTACTGCCCAGTACGCCTTAAAGCTTCGGGCATTCACAAAACTACGCTGGGTAAGCTGTTACGTAGGTCATAAGTTATAAATACGCAGTGCATCGGTCCTGCATCAGTCGAACACGGTACGAGTACGCTATGAGTGTGTGGGCTTAAGCAGTTCATACGCAATTATACGCTGACCTCCTGGCACACACCCCGTCAGCGTATGAGCCGCATATATTGGACGCATACATAGCGTACTTGCAGTGCAGATACAACGCACGCTGAACGAACTCATAGCGAATGCCGACGTAAGTTGCACGAATCTGTACCGTTCGTCCATCGTGCAGCGCATTGTACTTATTTGTAACTTATTTGTAATGAGAAACGCACAGACGGCGTACAGATGGCGTACTTGCCGTACATCCAAGGTACACTCGAGATTTTGGTATAAATATCATGGCTCCTCTAGACTTCAGGCTGAACAGACCTCCTAAAGATGGCAAATCCTGGCTAGAACCGGCGAGACCACATGATTGCTGTCATCCAACATGGCATCGTGAACCTGCGGCGAGAATACGCTCGGAAGACGCTCTGCATTCGTCGGAAGTGCGTCAGACGTGCGGTCGACATGAGTCAGATGCGTCCGGAATACGATCGGCATGCGCACTGCATACGCAGCTATTTGCTGCAAGAAAAATAGTGTAGCGCACTGCATACGCATTTCCTACTCACCTCATACGCGATGGAGGCGCTGAATTCGTTACTTTTACCCTAGATGTGCGTAACCCATAAGTCAGAGTCCTCGAAAAACTTCGAAATTTGGAGCGTACGGTTGCGTATTGAAAAATTTTAATGAGGAACTCATAAGGACTTGATATACGCAAAAATGTGACAGAGCCTGAAGTCAACGAGTTGTAAGTATCTCTGTTATACCATCCATTTCAGATTGTTTGTGCTTGCGTTCATAGTTAGAACTGCAAACGTTGAAGCCCAGAGAGTAAATTTTATCAGCTTTTATTTCGCCAGTTTTATTTACTCGTCAAACATGAGAAGTGTCGTCCTAGTCATAATAAAATAGATACCATTAACAGACGGACAAAAACTGCATTTAAAATTACAGTTTACATCTGTATCTGGGAAAATGTTAAACCCACTGATAGTCAATGGGAGAAAAGAATCCCTGAACATGTTTGTCTTCAGTAGAGGGTGTTGGATTTTTCCAGTCTTACTAAAGGTGAGAGTGAACCGATCAGTATCAGGCAAACATCAGCACCAATTAACATTTCTGATATTCTACTTTCATGACTACAGAATGAAAACACAAAATTTATTCCATAGAAAGATTTCATACGCCTGGAAAAATCTTTCTGCTTATTGTGCTGGGTGTTCCTTTAGACTCTTGGAGCGACTCCCATTCTCTTGAATTCATTCTACCCCACTTCTTTAGTAATTCTCATTGTTCTCGGCGTCTTTGGCAATTACTCTGATCTGTTTTTCTTTTTTTTTTTTTTGCAATTTGGCGAAGGGAATTTTTTACACGTCACTAAGTCGCACACTCAATTTGATTTAATTCTGAATCAAAAAGGTTTGACTTCAACCTCATTTTCCTGTCAAAAACATATTTTCACTGCTTGACGGAAATTTCATTTTGAAGTTTCCAACTTTGAAAAAGAGGGCATTGCTGCTCTTCATAATTACTACAGGCAGGTCTGGGAGCACGTTGCAATAACCGCACTCAGTCCATATAGTCAATAACATGGAATAAACATGCACTTCTTGGTATATCTACATCAAACATTCGTCCAATTCGAGTGGTTTAATATTGGACAGCATATTATAAGGAGGACAGGTGCACAGGAATGACTGTCATGATTGCTCGACTTGGTAAATAAGTAAAATGGTTTTCCTTTACGTCACTGCACTGTTAATTTAATGTGTTTGTTTGTCCAGACAATAATCCAACGAAAAGAAACGCTGATGGCAACGTAGAGAAAGAATTTCGCATTTACACATCCGGGAAAGATTTTTGTTTATTGTTTATTATTGTTATTTCAATCGCCAGAATTACTCGGCTAGTCTTCGCGCACTGTTTTATTTACCTACTGATATTTCATTTGAATCAGGACTGTGACAAATCCCAATAACTGAATACCCGACCGAAAGTGGGGCGACATCCGATCTAGTGTCTTAATTTGTATTACCCAAATCCTTTGTCTCAAATTTTAAAACTAACTAAGGAAGGAAAAAAACTGCTTTTACAAAGAGAGAAATACAATGTCTCAGGAGTGTTTCAAGAACAACCGCTGTTTAATTGCGTTTGACGCACTCCAAGGTAGTTCTCGGGTGAATCGCACAGTGGGAAAATGCTTTACTAAGTCTTCCACTTCCGTATTCCGTAGCGCATATACTTGTTGGGTTCCTGGAACCTGGCAAAACACAATTCTTAATTTCAATTAATTGCATGATGAGCCGATGTTATAAATCCCCTTTTTACCTCAATGATTGAATTGGTTGTATTTCATGTGTCTCATGCAGGACGACGCAAGCAGGTGTAATTTCCGTCGGAGATGGATGCTACTGAGTTGCAGGATGATGCAGTAATAATTTTCCCTTCTCCGATATCACTACACCGACGAACCAGCTAGCAACACACCATCACCGACTCCCTTAGCTTCTACTCTCCCGGTCCCTGGTGTGCTTCGGCAGCGTGCCGTCTGTATACTCTTGACACTTAGAAATGAGAAACGAGATTGTTCTCATTTTCGTTATGTGCTCAGCCGGCAAGGCCTAGGATTGATTTCAAAAATCAGACGGTCTTTTTCCATGATGACTGTCGAAGTTGATCTGTTTACAGCAGATTGAATTTCACACTGTATACATGATATAAAAGAACCACTCTCTCGAGGGAGGAAGCCTTTCCGATCCGTCTGTGTGTGAATGAAATTTGACAGCTCCTTCATGAATTCATGGCAGACAGACAGATGACTTGATTTGTAGTTCTTCATCAACGTTTCTTTCAAAAAACGCTTGAGACATCATTGACGTTTATCAGTCACAGTTCGTACTTCCATTAAGATCTTGAGAGACCAAGGACAACGGCAAAAATTCATCAAACTTAAGAAAAGGCAAAAGTCATTTACCAAACACGCCGAAGAGTTTGTTCTTCTTTGAGTTCAACGATGTTTGCGTCATACCCAGTTACTGGGTAACAACGGCCCAACGCTAGCTCAAGGAAAACACTTTGGTTCAAACGCATATTGCTACGGCAAAATACAAGGCCAACGCCAAACAATACCATTAGGGGATAATGTACGCGAGACGTCGGACACCATAATCTTTCGGTTGCTATTTACTTGTCCAATGCTACACTTACAACATGTCTCTGCTTAAACCTTAGGACCTCGGCGTTGACTTTATCTCACTTTGAATCGAAGCAGAAAATGTGCACAAATATGTACGGTAACTTGACGTGTTACGACGACGCAACCTCCAGGTATATACAGGCGTTTTTCAACAGTATCAACACGGTTCTGATTATATGCGGAAACACATTAGCACTTGTCATCGTGTATCGGACCAAAGCTCTTCAAGATGCCGCATTCTGCTTTCTCATGAACCTTGCTCTCAGCGACCTCCTACTGGGTGTCATCAGTCAACCTCCTTCATTGTATTACGCTATTTCTTGCCACTGGCCAGGCGGTCCAGATGGATTTTACTGCCAATTTGTGGGTTTCTGCATATGCTTACTGTGTTCAGTTTCCGTCATATCGCTTGGATTGGTTAGTTATGAACGGTACCATTACACGGTCCACCCCTTCCAGCACATCAACAAGTTCACGCTCTATCGATCTTTAAATGCATGCGTAATTGTTTGGCTGTATTCCGCTATCGCATCCCTTTTTCCAGTGGTTGGTATTTGGAAAGGTGTAGGGTTGCAACCCTATAATGCCCTGTGTAATATCCAATGGGAGGAGGAACCAATGTATTTGGTGGCCATGATAGTGGGCGTGTTACTCCCCTCCTGGGCGATGATTACATTCTCTTATTACAACATTGTGAAAGTTGCGCGTAAAGCTCGTAAGATCGACGTCATTAAAAATCAGGTGACTCTCCGTAACCGTGCACCAGTCTCCAATATTGCCAGTAACATCCCTGCGTGTATAGCGACTGGTGTCTTGGATGACAGTTACCATGACGACAGTACAATCAGCACGATTCATGCCACATCAAGGTCTTGCAAAAATCGGGCAAATTTTAAAAAAACCATGAGAAGCAACAAGTGCACGCTGACTGTCAGCCTACTGGTGGGGACTTTCATAGTTTGTTGGACTCCTTATGTCATCGTTAATATCATCCAAGCTGTGCAATGTACACCCAATTCATTCGAAGCAATTGCATTTGCCCAATGGATGTGCATCTTTAATAGCGCATGCAATCCACTTATTTACGGACTGACGAACAAAACTTTTCGGGAAGGAGTCAGCAAGTTAATGCGAGAACTGAAATGCCGGAGACGAATCTGACTGTACAGGAGCTACAGGAACTGACTAAGGATCTTAGTCACGATAAGATTATTTGGCCCTAAATAGGCCATCTAACCTACGCACTTGCCCGATATAAGGGCTTGTGGTTGTACTTTCAAATTAATGTTCAACTTAATCAGCTATTACAAAAGCAAAGATGTCGATACCGTATTCGACGGCACATATTGCACATGACACGATACTTTCTTAGTTAAACATTCGCAAACGTTATTTTGTCAAATTGTTTTACCTTTTACTGAAATGAACTAGTGAAGGGTAAAATTCGGTTAAACGTGTGCTATGGTGTCACAAATTTGTTATACAGGACATTGAAGCTCATCCCACTTTAAAAGGTTGATACGCCCCCCCTCATGTCTTTGCTTCTCCCCTCTTCATACATGTGATGTCATCGGCGATCACGTCATCCATATAGCTCGACTCACGGTATACTGCATCCTCTCGCAAAATGTCCAGCTGGGGCCAATTTTACAGAGCTGCTGCTGAAGCACAAAATTTGCTTTAGGGGGAAAAAACTTTGCTTAATAAACAAAGGTTACCAGCTCAAACTGTATCTGAATACTAAAGCTAAATACAATCCCCAAACAATATACATCACATGGAGTTCTAGCTGGTGACCTGATTTATCAAGCAAGGTTTTCTCGTGCGAGTTTTGGCTGGTG